AACTACTGCCTCCCACGACTTCGGCCATGTATAACAGAAAAAGAATTGGGGAAAGAGGCGATCCTTGTGGCAGCCCGCATTCTAGGAATACCGGGTCTGTGACTCCGTCTTCGTGTCGTACGCGAGCAGATCGTTCTTGTAGGAAGGACTTTATCCAGGTGATAGCTGGTTTAGGCCACCCCATCTTGTTCATCCTCTGCAGCAGCCGTCCGTGGAGTACAGCATCGAATGCACCCTGAACGTCCAAAGTGACTAGGACTGCTTTCTTCTGCCGTTTCATTGCATGTTCTACATCGTGGATGACGCATGAGACGAGGTCGTTGGCAGACCTGCCAGTGAGTGCTCCAAAGAGTTGCTGCGGGACTGCCTTGTAGGTGAGGGCGGTGTAGGCCATTCGCCTTGCAATCAGTCTCTCGAGACCTTTACCCAGGGAGGAGAGAAGTGCGATAGGCCTCCATCCTTTAGCTGTACTGAGGTTACGGCCGGGTTTGGGGAGAAGGATTACTTCCGCTAGCTTGAAGGCCTTCGGAAAATGATTCAATCGCAGTGAGCCCTCAAAGAGTACTCTCACTGCGTGACCAATTGATGGCCAGGCTGTCCTAAGAAGACGAACAGAAATCGCGTCTGCTCCAGGGGCTTTGTTTTGGCAGGCCGTTGTAACCCACTTGGCTTCCTCGTCCGTAACGCTCGAGACCCATGGGAGGTTTCCGCGTCCTGGCTCGAAGTCCTCAGCGTCGACGTCGTTCTGACTGGTGAACCGGCTGAGAAGGAGGTCTCGCAACAGAGTTGCTCGCTTTCCTGGATCCGAAACAAGACCATCTGGAGTTTGGAGTGGTGGAGCAGCTGATGTAGGTTGCGGCTTAGCCCAGCGTGCCATCCGATACATGTCGACGTCGGTTGTTGCTTCGGAGAACTTTCGCCGCCAGTATTGGCGTTTGGCACTTTTGACTATGCGACGGAAGTCCTTTCTGCTCTCTTCGTCCCTGAATATCCTGTATTCGCGTTTGGCCTGTAGGCACTCCGACGTCCACCAAGGTGCTATCCTACCCTTCTTCACACTCCCGCGTCTACCAGTGACCCTGATTGCGTTGCTAATAGTTTGGACCAGCTTATCAGCAAGATTGTCCACCGCGTCTACTGAAGCCATCGGCTGTAGCTCTATTCCTTGAGCCCAACGGCCTAGCACCTTTGCAAAGTCTTCGAGGGCGTCGTCTGTCACTCGAAACGGTTGGCCTGTTTTGATAACAGCTCTAGCTTTCGAGTTCGGACGGGGGACGTCTCCTGCAAGAGTTCTGTGGTCCGATGTCGAGTCAAGCTCTATCGAGACGTCTGCAAGGGCTCCCGTGTTAGACCAGACTAGGTCGAGTGTGTTTCCAAGATCGTGAGTCGAGACGCCCGGGGTCGAAGATAGGTCCATACCGTGCTCGGACATCCATTTGGCGAGCACTTGGCCGTCACCGTGTAGCCTGGTGGCCATGGGCTGCCAGTCAGGGTTGACGGCATTGAAATCTCCACCAACTACTGTGGGCCCAGACGGGGCCCATGATAGGAGCGGCGAAAGGTCTGCTCCAGGAGCGCGATACACTGAGACAAACGTGACTCCTTCAACCTTTACGGCGGTAAGATCTGGTGATGCCTCGCAGATTGCTAGTTGTAGGCACTTGGTCCCTTTTCGCGTATAAATGAGGGATCGTGGCCTTGCGGGGTTGGCTGTGACATGGGGGGGCAAGTGCTTGTCGAACCCAGGATGCGACTTGGTGAGCCAGAAGCCGTCCTTGTGTTGAGTCTAGGGTTCCTGGATGAGTAGGACATCGGTTCCTGAATCCCAGGCGGATTGCAGGATGATGTCTGTAGCGGGGTCTCCTCTGCCCAAATTAGCGCAGAGGAACAAGATCGTTGTTGCCGTTGTGTGTAGCTCGGTAAGGTTGTGGTCCCTTACGGGCATTGAGCAACGTTTGTAGTTTCGTTTTCAGCAGTCGCCTCAGCGGCTTTCTGCTTTGCTTCCAACTCTCGGATCGAAGCGTTTCTTTCTTTTTGACCTTGTTCCCGGATCACCGACAGCTGGTCTCTTGTGCGTTGCACAGTCTTTCCGCCGGTCCGCGTCGGCCTGGCCATGCAGCTAGGCTCGGTTGCGGCATGCGGCCCATGGCAATTGATGCACCTTGGGACGAGCTGTTTGCACTCAGTAGCCTTGTGCTCAATCGATCCACAGCGAGAGCAGCGCTCTGCTCGTGAACAGATCTTAGTTGGGTGGTGTCCCCAGCATCGGTTGCATTGCGCGATTTTGGCTTTACGCTGAAGTTCGTTTAAGCGACCGCTCTCTTCGAAATGTCTTTCTCCCAGCTTTGGCTTGCCGGTTGCAAAATGCAACACCCAGTCGGTTGACGGCCTAGCCATGCTTGTTGCAAAGGCACGAGCCGAGGTCGGTCTAACGCCTGTCTTTAAGGTCGCTTCCTCCATTACCATCTCCGATGTTACTGGCGTTGGTCCTTCTAAAGTGAAGAGTCTGTCTGGTACATTAGGCGCCAACACTGAGATCCAGTTGGAAGCAGCTTCCAGTTTCATTTCCGTGCTCTCCAGGAGTACGGCGCCTGAGAGTAGCGCGTTTCTTGCTCCGTCTCCTTCAGCTAGTATCGCAAACCCTGAGTTGACGATGGTAACCTGCTTAATTGCAGAGTTAGCTAAGCGCAGCTTGCTTGCGAGGCTCATTTTGATGTAATGAGGAGACATGCGTCTCCATGGGTGGTCGGGCTTGACCCGCAGGAAAACACGCTCGTCTGGGCGAGCTAACTTGGGAGCTGAGGCAGTAGGCCTCGTAGTTTGTGTGGGCCCTGTCGCTTTTGACTTAGGCTCGCTGGCTGGTTGCGATTTTGTCGCTGCTGGTGGTGCGGGCTTAGTCTTTTTCCAAACTACTTGAGTCCAAGACCCCTCAGTAACGATGGGGGTTTGTATAGAATCGATGTCGATTGGCCTAGTAGGCTTTGTCGAAGCCGGCTCTTTGCCTTTCGCCTGGCTGCTTTCTCTCGTGAGTATTTGCACTGGTCGTGAAGTGCTCGCGCTATTCTTTCCTCCCGACCTAGTAGCCGACGTAGGGAGGGTTGTCGTCTTGCTGCTACTGGCAGCCTCTGATGGCCCACTGGATTGGGGCTCGGGGTTTCCGCGCAGGATGTTTGTGATAGTGGCCTGTAAAGCCTCTCCATTCTTTTCGACAGCTCGTCGGAGCTGTTTGTCGGTTGTGGCCGCCAGTAGGTTAATGTACCCACTGACGATACGCTCAGCCTCTGCAAAGCGTATGTTAAACGCCCTCGCTTCATCTGCGAGGAAGTTAGTCAAGGAAGCACCCATTGACTCGGGGGGGTTTGGGGGCGAGTATTGGCAGCTCGCCTCGCAGATCGGTTCTGCGTTTGCTTGTGTGTTGTTGTGGTGGTGGCTAGGTGGCCCTGTGAGGACCATTTCGACGTCAGGACGCGTCGAATTTACAGGTGGGAGAGGGGGCCAAGAGCCAGCCTCTACGGAGGACTGGGGCGGCATGGCAAGGAGCAAATCAGAGAAAGCTGAACAGTAGATAATCGCGTGTCTGGCGCGTCGAGACAGTTCTTTTTGGTGATGGAGAAGTGTTGTGCTGGCTCGGTTGAGTTGTTAGGAGACAGGGGAACAGAGGATGAGCTGCTGGATTAGGAAAGAGTGGAAAATACAGGCTGGTGCACAGACGCTGTTCATGTACTCTACAATCTCTTCACCTGCCGAGTTTAATGAATTAATCTATCCATATAATGTCATACTTCACATCATCCATTAGATGATATTATCAATCGTCGGGATGCACATCTAGCATCACCTTCATAGATCACCATCGTCAGTAAGAGTTCACATTTGATACCTACTGACACCCATTTGGCCACAGTGATACGCACTCAGTGTCCATCGTGCCATCACCCAGCGTGAGCGCGCCATCTCCGCGACTCACCATTGCACATGAGCCCGTGTAAATCCACCGACGGACAGCAGAGACATAATTACCATATACCTCACAGCTTATAACCACAACAAGAAGGAGTGTTGTGGGCGTACGGGCCCTCCATTTTGTCTAGGTTCCAGACACGATCTTGAGTGTATGTAAGAGGTTGGAATGGGTAATATGGTAGCGCTTCAGGCTACCTGTTGGAGATCTGAGCGGCTGTATGGCGTGGCCACAAGGAGGTTATTGGGGCGTTTCTACACCTAGATGGCACCATACTCAGTATACTGTGGCTTAGGCTCGGTGTCGCTTACACTTGTACTTGAAGCCCACACCTTCCACAGTTTTAACTTTAATCCGAACATGACACTCTTTAATCAACTTCTACTTCCGTTCCCTAAATATTGCGCCTATTTCATCGCGCGATATTTCCAACACATACCAAGTTTGATTCCTGTATATAGATGTGGTCTCTCCTACCACCAGAGATCTTCAACCTCCCAATAGTCCCTTCAATAATTTGTCTTCGTTGAAACCGACGCGGACTCTGCAGATTAACAGCTCTGAAAATTTGCCCATGAATAAATTCAATACAGTCAGTCTAGGTCACCTTTCTGTCCGTGACTAATCCATTATTAATCTATGCCCCTACCTAATTAGTTTCGGGGTTGAGCTCCTCCAATCATGATTAGAGTTACGGTGTGCGAGAGTATCCTTACACATGCAGATTACACCGAAGACAGTATTTACACCGTTTATCTTAGAGTAAAGTTATTGTATTGATAATAATATGCATCACACACCCATTTGATAGTTACAGAGAGCCCATTCCCGATTTCAAATGCTTACTTGCAAAAGTAATCCGGCAAGAGCAATAAAACTATCTCCTCCTTTCATGTGTATCACGGCAATCCTCTGTGAGACCCCTGACTATCATTTTCAAACTCTTGACAACAGATTTGTTGTTAAATTCCATTACAAAATGAGCAACTAAACATAGATAAATTTGTTAGTAGCTGTGAATGACTAATCAAGACAGGATTTACGAACGTGGAAGATTTGCATCTCTACCAGGGCGCTCGACTGTAAAAAAATGGTCCGGTGGAAATTCTTCATACGCGCCTTGATCTCTATTTTCACACACTTCGACGAAGTAATTTATCCATTCCTCTAGGTAATGTGCCTTGATAACAACTTCTCCGCAATCCCAATCATTGACAGCTAATGCCGGAAGACAAAAAAGTGCAACCGATGAAACAATGTGGATTAATTTCATTTTGAAGTTTGAATTTTTGAAAAATGCTGTGTAAATTTTAGCTGGGTCATAAGTTTCTCTCTCGGTGCAGCTACCTCAAAAATCCAGTGTTAATAGCGTGAACTTGGAGAGATAGCTGTGATGATGCTTGTGCGATATCTGACCGATCTGAAGAGCTGAAGGCGATACTCTGATCACAATAGGGGTGGTCCTATTGCTTTAAATATTCTTCTCCATGACCGCTTTTACCTAAAAAAATCCACCCAAATTATTCTTGCACTCCTGTCAGTTAATAATTTTAATACACTTTTAATTTCAAGGGGAAATGGGCCGAGAAGAGCCGATCAAAGGCTTCGAGTTCCCTTCTCTGATAACCATGTAGAGATCTTGTCATTGATACATTTTTATATCATAACTACAACTAGAATCTTTGACATTACCCAACAGAAATGGTAAAATGGAACCTGGCATACGTTATTACAGAATACGGCCTCGTTATATGGGTTTAGCGCTTTCTAAATCCAAAAACATAGCAGTTCACCCACATGACTGAACTGTTTCGTCAACAATCAAAAAAGATGTCGTGCCCTCCTGACAATGCTTTTGCACTTGGAAAACCCCAGGCATATCTTGTGACTAGATTTATCATGGCATTCCTTACTATGCAATTGTGAGGATGGTTAGCTGTCCGAGAGAAAGGCAGTGCTTCCAAGCAAAAAGCACCGCTGATCCTTGCAAGACTGAACGTGATAACAGACTGACACCTCTCTAATTTTATCAAAGTTTATTACTCTTAACCTAGCTAGAGCACACTAGAGCTTTTATTTCTGGTGAAATTTCAGCATGTATAGTTGTAGCTTGCGCTGATTCCGGTGATACGGCCTTGTAACACTCCATCAGGTAATGAGGATACAAGATCAAATAAACCGAGCGGACATCTATGGATCCTTCGAGTCATGTTACCCAGTAGTGCAGGGTTACATATTGTGATGGATGGAATGTATATTCCTGTGAGCCAAGCAATTCTTTTATGGGGAGGACAAAGACTGAACGATTATACGCCGTATCCTCAACGAGCCTGGGAGTGAAATATCCCCCCAGAGCCAAGTTCAGTCAGATTTCGCAGTTCCGAACAAGTTGGCCCACGAGGCAATTATCAAAGACTCTACGAAATCAATCCCCATCAAAACCTTATCAAGTTTACAAGTACGACCTAGTACATCAACGTTTCAATGACCAAACGTCTCATTGACTATTCTCCGGCCTAGGCTGGCCACCAAATACATGCCCTCGCCAATCTTTATAGCCGACGGAGGAAGCAAAGCGTCGCGCACAAATCTGGGAGATAGCCCTTTGGGATGGACGTGAGAGGGATCAGGACAAGTTTTTAAGATGATGCAAAGGAAGGATACAAACTCGACAGGCGTCGAATTTTGAATTTGTGCAAGAGTTTTGGGAATCGAGCTTTGAGTGTGCCGAGACATCGGCTGCGAAAGTGCAGCTGACACTTTAAAAACAAGCCGACGATGGAAGGTGCCGTAATCCGCCTCCTGGTGGTATTCTCCCATAAAAAAAAATTAAAAAAAGATTCTCCGATATAGTTTGAGTAGCCGGGGCACCTAATACACTTGCGAATAAGACATGCAAGACCATATTTCACGCGGAGAAAAGTTAATGGATGGAGGCATTTCTGGATAACTCAGGGTTTTAAGACGTTTCCCTGAGTGGGTATTCACGGATGAGGGTTGACTTGGGGTGATGAAAAAGCCACCATAACTTCGAAGTGGTACTTGCAAATGAAATCTGAGGCATGAATGCTCCTCTTGTAAATTGAGTCATCTTTTCTGTACTTTTCTTTGATATTGTGTCAGAGCTAGACAGTTGCTTACGCAGTCAAAATCTGATGCAAAAAAGAATTCCTTCATGGATAATCACATGATTTTGCAATTATATTATGTAATGAGCACGAGCCAAGATTGCATGAGCATCGGCACAACAACAGGGGCGAAAGACATGGGCCAAAGAATCATCCATTAGATCATCTATCCCATACTCGCAGTAACGGCTGCTAAGCCTAAGAATTCCTTTAGCCTACGCTGGCTAGCGCAGGAAATGACATCAAGGGAATCTTCGGGCATCTTCGGGAATGATCTCGGGATACACGGAGCTTAGAATATTCTTAATAAACCTTCTGGAAGCATACTGAAGGTTCATGAGGATGACAGACATATCGAGAGTCTTCTAGGGAGTCTTCGAAGATTCCATATTATTCTAGTCATAGGGGAACCTTATAGCAGAGGAGTATCTCAGAGTGTATATATATTTGTAGTCTAGCTACAGGAATTCTCTCTCTAGAGAATTACAATTAATATACTGTACTTACAAGATTGCCCAAGTATTTTGTACTGAAACCGTGACACACGCACACCATTATACTTATCCGGGTTTCTTATAACCTGTCAAATCGAGCAGCACTATGACTGCGCAAAATCAGCCGTCGTCCTCGGCGTCAATCGACCCAGGCGATCAACTACACCCGAGCCTTGTTGGGATTGCTGCTGCGATGGAGCAATCAACGCGCGAACTAAAGCAGAGAATGAGCCTAGCTCAGGATTTTCTACAAAATATCGACGCCTGGGCGAAATCCAAGGCAGGAGCTGAAGGCGCGGTTCTAGTCGCGCCTTTCATCGAAAAAATACCACCCATAGTGACAGCATTTGCAATAGGAAACACCGATGCTACAGTCCTCAAAGGCAAGATCCCACACCCCGAAGTCACGTAGATAATAACCTCTGCGCCTAGGGCGACAAAAACAAGCGATAAATCGTACCAACTGCCCCAAAAGCCACAGAAGACTGCAAACCCGTGGGTTACAGTAGCTCGGAAAGCGGCTAAGCTCCCAGATCCGCCCGCGCTCCCCACCCTTCGAAGGCCCACCACAGATGTAAAGCTTAATGCACAAAACCCCCTAACAGAAGACAAACGTCTCTTTGTCAGATTGGGGCAACAACATGGCTGGCGCAAATTATGTCCAGTCTTCATAAAGAAGATGATCACTGAGAAATCGGGAGTTGCAGCATCTGAAATCACGGCTATGCATCAGGTTCGATCAGACCTAGCACTGGAGTGCGCATCAGACGGGCTTCGAGAAACAATACTGGGAGTCGCATGAATATTTCAGCAAGAAAACACCAGCATCGAAGCAGCGTCGGGTTGGACGTCAATGATAGTGCCACACGCACCACTATATATCAGAACATTCGAAGACAGTATTTGGGTAACTAGCAAAATTGTTACAACAGAATGTCAAGCTAGATGTGGGGTCATACCAGTGCAGGTGCGACCGAACCCATCTAGGCTCGGAAAATATTCCACGAGCTGGATTATTCACTTCAAACAGAAACCGGCAAACTGTAAGTTTAGGCTCTTCGACAAATGCGGACCTGCAATCCCGTTCGTTTGCCAACGCCCAATGGAACAGTGTCAGAGATGCTGGGGATTTCACAACATACAGTCTTGCACTAAAGGAGAAAGGTGCGGAAGATGCAACGTAGTACACGAGACAGATGAATTTCAATTCAAGTTACCTAAATGTGCAAATTGCGCAGGTCCTCACAAATGGACCAACTTGAAATGTATGGCGCGACTTAGGCGCTAGAACGGAATATTCCAGCTCCGCACACCAGCAGAACTAAGAGTCGTTCGGGAATATGGACATCGTGACTTTAAGGCTGCACTAGCAGGGTCGGAGAAAAAGGGTAAGGCCCCAGAGGTCGTGTTCACCCTGGAAGACACGATGCAAAATTAATGAGTTGTACAACCACAACTCATAACCACACCGAACAACAACACGCCCTTCCATTTCACCAAGTGAACGTGGGAAAGGGCGGGGAGAATATGGCTATCGCACTTCATGTTATAATCCTAGTCCATGCTAACACAACGCAGAGACGTGCATTGTCTAGGTCATGGATCAACATAGTCTCTGTGCCTACAAAATTGAGGTAAGCTACGTAGTGGTTGGAGAGATTGGTCGAGGATCAGGATGTTGAGAAGTGATAGCAGTGCACGGACCAGCTTCTCATGTATTTAGACAGGTGGTCAGGCACTGCCCCCAAAAGTGTCCAAAATAGATCACATCATTTATCCATTATACTTTAGCAAATAATAATCCCTCCTAAAGTCTACATCTCAGTTCTCGTACATTATATCACAACTGACTCTAAGTCTATCCCAAGAATATCTCCAGTGCTCATCATTCACAAGACAAAATCGAGGAAGCCTCCAACCTTGTCTCCTTTCGGATCGCAAATGTTCCAGGGACCATAAAAACACTCAACTGTATAGAGACATTCGATGTGAATAGGATCTAACTGGAGATCTACCGCAAAATACAACGACTTCCATGCCAGGTGCAACTGCAGGGGACATGCCGTCCCGAGGCGCCATACAGAAACTGGCATGCCCTTTTCGACCGGGACTCCGCCCCTCGTGCGGGCTTCCGCATTCTCGACGAGTCCGGAGCGGCTACAAAGGTCCAGCCTCGCCGCCAAATTGAACAGTGCAAACGCTGTTTGGGCTTCCACGCCACTCGTGGTTGCTCCCGCGCTCCAGCCTGCTGGAACTGTGGATCAACCATGCACTTAGATGCCGAGTGCAAGGCCCTCACTAAGTGTAGTAACTGTGGGGGACCCCACCGGTCGGATTCTCGGGCCTGCCAAGTCAGACCCAAAAAATCCGGACCGGTGACCAAAGAGCAGCTCGCGTGGATCCGCCACATCGAACAAGGGGAGTTCGCGAAGGTGGCACAAGCTCGAGCAGCAGCAAAAAGGGCCGAGGAGGCGATCATTGCCGCGGCGAAGGATTTCTCTATGGCCGAGGCAATAGGTTTCGGAGCTCTGGGATCTGAAGAAGAAGTTTGAGGACACAGCAGCTTCGACAATGTCCCTTTTAGGGCATCTACTAACAATTAGTAGGATACCGGCTGGATCAAAGGTGCCTGCTAACTCATCAACTGCTCT